GCCGCAGCTTCGTGCCTCCTCCTCCTCTTCCTCCTGATCCGCCTGCTCGCTCCTCATCCATGCCTTTTCCCTGTCAATGAATCTTCCCTGTCGCACCCCCAGACGTATCGAAAGGCGGGCCAGGCGTTTCGCGCGAGGCTTCCGCAGCGGTTATGATCCTGAAGTTCGAAGCATGCAACAGCTTCAAGGATGGAGGGCGGGTCGTTTTCAAAACGTGGCTTTCGTTTCAGCAACGTGCGAATTCGTCTGAATAGTGTCTGCAACTTTAAGGTCCGGGGTGGGTCCGTTTCAAAGTGCGGCTCTCGCCTTAGCGCCGAGCACATTGGTTCGAAAACTGTGCAACCGCCGGGTCTGTGTCAGAATGTGATTCTCGCTTTAGCTCCGCGCGCATTTGTTCTAAATGTTTGCAGCAATTTCAAAGCATCGTAGGGCTGAAGTCCCAGGACTGGTGTTTTGGCTCGATTGGATATTGTCAGCGCGCTACTGTCTCTTCGGTTCGCGGTGTTGGAGTCCCAGGAGTAGTGTTCTGGAACCGCTTCGGACTGCCAGGATGCACCGTCACGTTGAGTTTCGGCGGTGACTCCCAGGAATGCGTCTTGGCGCGATTAAAGATTATCAGATGGTTGTCTTTCAACGAGGCACTGCCCGCAGTGAAAACAAATTCCTGTAGGCGCTCATGACGAGGGGACTCGGGAAGAGGGTTCGGTGCAATATCCTTGATGCGTCTTTGGTAATCATTCGTCCTCCCTGCTCCTCCCCCCTCCACCTGCCCTTCCTTCCTCTTCCTCCTCCTCCTCCTCCTCCTCCTTTTCCTTCTCCTCCTTGTCCTCCGTAGCCATGTTGGCTCAAATTGCCCAACTTAAGGGGGCTGTCTGCCTCCTGGCCGCACGGAGACCGCTAGTCCGCGGACGGCGTTCGAGCATACTCGAGGCAAGGGCGCCTCGTATATCGAACATCTCCTCAGTTTTGTTCTCGCATGGCGGACGTTGCCCCGTTTTCGTCGCCCGCAGATGGGGCGCTCCGACGTGGCGGCATTCAGAAGCGGAAAGACCATGGCAATAGTGATCCTCCTGGTGGTCGTGGAGAGACAAGCTGGACTCCATGGAGAGCGCCATCAGGGACTCCATCAACTCCTCGGTCTCTTCCGCGATGGGCAGCGCCACGGATCCCATCACAGCTGCCCTCGCGGCTGCTCAGGCTGGCATCAACAGGCTCACTGGCAAGATCGAACAGGAAGTCGGAGTCGCTGTCGGCCAGCAGATGGATGCCACCCGCAAGTTGTTCCAGCAGCAGTTCGATGCGTTCACCCAGCGAAAGGCCGACATCGAGAGCCGCCAGGACCAGACGGGCAAGACCATCAACATTATGGCGGAGCAGATCTCGTCGCTCCAGAAGGCGCTCGAGGTCGCGAACAAGCAGCCGGCGCAGGATACCTTCATCGGACGCGACCTCGACAGGCAGATCGGCTTCACCATCATCAAAGTTCACGCCGACGGCCTGGTCACGCTGGACAAGGCTGCGGAGGCAGTCGGCAAATGGATCACCGAGAGCGGGATCGACGAGTCACATGTTCAAGTTCATGGCCAAAACACTTCCCCTCTTTTTCGCGATTCAGTTCACGGGCTTCCCTGGCCCTGCATCGCGCCGTGTGCAGAAGGCGGTGGACAGCTTGCGCAACCGTGAGCTCCGCGTCGGCTCCGACAAGTCGCCCAAGCAGATCAAGACATAGATCGTCGGCAAGCGCATTCGGCAGGCTCTCGAGCGTGTGTTCCCGAACCACACCTGGAGGGTCGACCGCGCCAAGGGTTGGGTCTCTGCCAACTGGGCCAGTGCTGTCCTACACTGTACACCCTGGACGTGCTGAGGCGACTACCATTGCCTACCAGGACACAGGCCTCCCTGCCCTCGACATCATTCGCACGCAGATCAAGGAAGCGATCAACGACGCGGTGGCACCTGAAGCTGCTCTTCAATTCTGGTTGTGACAAGCTTGCTAAGTGTCTGAAGCGAGCCCCCTGTGGCCCTACGCCGAGCACGGTGGTGGGAACATGGAATGCCCGCGCACTTCTCAGCTACCAGGGCTGCCGCGTGGTCGAGAAGTCCTCCTACCTCCACCCCCTCCCACTGGCCAGGATGATCCTCGGCACCCAGGAGGCCCGGCATAACCATGCGCAGCTGCTCGCCTTCATGAGGAAGATCGACACCATGCTCTGCATGCACTTCTCCTTCGCTCCTGGCCACCATGATGAAGTCAGTGGCGGAGTTGCCACAATCTTCCTTGCGGGTCTTCAAGAGAGCGAAACCCTCCTCCCTGGACGCGTGCTGCGAACTACCTTCCAAGCTGACGACCAGAAGCTGATGTTGTACAACGTCCACAACTACGAGAACATCAACGCAGCGATCAGGCGCATCACTACCAGGACCCTGAACGACCAGCGCCTCGCGAGGGCCGATCCGAGCAGGGTCGCCCTGTTCGCCCTCGGAGACTTCAACTTCGCCGCCGTCGGGGAGCCGAAGCCCACCGAGTCCACCTCAAGAGCCTCTTCTGAGGCCGCTGAGACCAAAGCATCGGCCCGCAAGTGGCACGGCGCGCTCAAATGCCCGGTGGAAATTGATGTCTACGACACCACGCGCTATTGCGCCGAGACCATGTCCGCCGAATCGACCATCGACCGATGCTTCTGATCCATCACGCCGTCCCAGACGATGCAGCTGTCCGTCGCCTCCACCGCCTTCTCTACCCCCGAGGAGCTGTCTCGCCGTCGAGTCAGCGACCATGCTGCTGCCCTCGTCTCCTGCGCTATGCGCGACTCCAAGGCTGAGAAGAACCAGCCGATCACCCTGTGCATTTTCAAGTCCCCCATCTTCAAGCAGATCGCAGAGACGGTGTTCAGCCAGACCGGCCTCGACAAGCTGACACCTCCTACCAGACTGCTACAGAACGCTGAACTCCTCCGAGATGTCGCCGGAGCTGCTCGGGATTGCACTCACGAGGAGCACCCTGGCCTCGGCCATGCTCAACTTCAACTGGCCAAGTCGCTGGCGCGTGCCGTCTGACGACAAGATCGCTCGCTGGCTGCTCGACTTCTTCGGGCCCGCGCGAAAGCTCAAGACTTCCTGGACACTAGCAACGACCACATCAAGCTCTCCGACCCCGCCAAGTTCGAAGAGTGGGCCAGCAACCCCTCCCGAGAGGATGCGGACCAACGCCATGTTGCCACAGACCTTGCTCGTTAGAGGGGTCGACTTCCGCCCGCGCGAGCTCGCGCCCAGACTCAGGCCCTGCAGCGCAAGATCCAGCTCTGGAACCCGATCAGCAAGCGCCTGGTGCGCACCGGCGTCAAGACGAGCGTCGGGACTGTGATTGGACCGACTGAGAGACTCCAGGAGCTCGTTGACTGAGAGACTCCAGGAGCTCGTCGAACACCGTCAACCCGTCTTTCAGGGCAAGAACGTGGACATCGAGAAGGCCGCGGACTACCTCGACCACTTCGCGCCCAAGATCAACTTCAACAAGTACATGCCCCCCGAGTGCGACATGCTCAAGCGATTCGCCAGACGTCCATCTCCCACCTCGCCCGGCATGGATGGGCTACCATACATCGCGCGGGCCGCGCATGAGAAGTGCGCGGGGGCTCTCTGGCACGTCGCGCGCTTGACGCTCAACGGCGCCCCCCCCCCCCCCGCTGACGAAGCCAACGCGGCGGCCCAAGCCCCCCCCCCACCCCCCAAGGGCGAGGAACCAGACGACGCGGAAAACGTCGGCTGCCACCGTGACCCATCTAAAGTGCGAGTTCTTGGGCTTCGGAACACCTCCCTCAACGTCATCAGCAGCGCGATGAACGCTGCGATGGCCACGGTGGTTGCCGACGGCGCCCCTGCCTCATAGCGCGGGTTCATCCGCCGCCGCAACTTCGGCTACATCATCCGGGAGATGGACGTCAAGAGCCGCGTCGCGTCCGCCGACCCGGACGCCGTGGACAAGCTGCCCGTGCTGGTGTCGCTGGACATCGCGCAAGCGTTTCCGAGCTTCGCGCATCAGTTCATCCGCCTCGCATTGAAGGCCATGGGGACCCCTGTGGCGATCTGGAACTTCGACACGGTGTGCCACAACATTTTCGCGATGGCGCCACGCGTTGGTAGGTGCACCCCGCTCTTCTACATCCGCTCGGGCATCGCCAGGGCTGCGGGTGGAGCGGCGCGCTCAACGCGATGGGTGCTGCCTGCTCCCTCGATCTCGAGATGAAGCTCGAGTTCAGGGGCCTAGGGCTATGCAGAGCCTGCGCTGACGACGTCGGCCTGGCGCTCATGGCAGTGGCCCATCTCCCCCACCTGGCTGGCGCGATGGTTCTCATGGAGGACCTCGCGGGCCTGGCGCTGAAGCCTGCCCGGTGCCGCACCATCCCCGCGGCGGGCCCCGTCGACGACGGGCTCGTGCTCAAGCTCCGCAACGCCCTGATCGCGATCGCGCCGCGCTTTCAGGAGTTCAACATCTGCGACCGCCTGACCTACCTTGGACCCCTGCTGGGTCACGGTGCGACCGAGCAGCTGATCTACGCGAAAGTCTTCCAGAAGTTCCGCTGGCGCACCAAGATGTTCGGTGCCAGCGACGCCCACTCGATGGGCTCCGCCAACCTGTTCAATAGCCGTGCGCCCCCCGCCCTCAGCTACCTGGCCCAGTGCGCCCTGTTGCCCCACGAGCACTTCAAGCCCGAGAACTGGGTCAGCGCCTCGGTTCTGCGGTTCCCCAACGGCGCGTTCAGGGTCAAGGACTGGCCGCGGCCGAAGGACTGGGGATCCACGCCTCGCGGCCCCTGCAGCTCACGATGATTGCCACGATCGTCCGAGCTGCCACGTCGGCCTGCAGCAAGTTCCCTGAAATCCGAGAGCGCCTCCACCGCGGGCTCGACCAGCATGGCGATGAGCAGGCGCTGCTTGGCACCGCGTGGGCCGCCACGCATCTCTCTCCGCCCCGGTGGAAGATGGCGCCCTTCGTCGAG